AATTTATATCTATTTTATATATTTATTTTCATATATATATAGAAAAGCTATATAAATTTAGCAGAGATCCATTCTCCCAGCTGCTGACAATCCTGAATAAAATTCCACAGACCATGGGCTGCAAAGAGTTTTTAATTTGTAACTTAAAACATGATCTCTCATCAGTAGGATTTAAAGATACCAAGCACTGGCAGGAGCACTGCATGCAACCAACATTTTTTCTCTGTTGCAAGCAGCTATCACAGGAAGAAAAGCCTATCAGCCTCTGGCACCAAGATCTGTTCCAAAACTCCACTTGGAGATCATAGGTATTCCGGTGACTTGGTATTATCTAGCCATCTATATTGCAAAACAACAGTTATACACTGTTATTACATATAACGATTCCTCTAACACTTTTATTACATATTACTTATTTCTTGTAACACCTCAAAACTACATGGTATAATTTGGGCATACATAAGCAACTCAACAAATACGAACAATAACTCTTGGAAGTTCAGTAACGCAGTATCTCTGACCAGTATTTTATTGTACCTTAAACACAACAATCCACTGGAACAAGACGGAGCGCTAGAGTAAGTAGTTTTACCTTTGCAGTCATATACATCAAGTTGTTCAGAACCATAGCTGTAGCCTGTGGTGATCCCCAGCCTTCTCCCCGTAGCCATCGTCTACTGTTCACCATTATTTCTCTGTCCTTCAAAGAATCTTCTTCATCTTCATCTTGCCGACGAATGGTTGGCAAAGGCTTCAAGTCTACCAGCTCAATATTGTTCATCCATGGCAGCAGATAATGCAGCATCACCTGTCTTCCAGCTGGGTGAGCTGTTTGGATTCTCTGACTTACTTCTGTTATTCAAAAATCAGGTACGTGAATTGCAAATAAAAAATAAGAATTGTTTTGCTAATAACAACCACCATGAGCCCAGTAGAACAGACTGATACGAAGTAATGCTGATACTGACATAATTTTTTGTTTAGCTGATTAATACCATTTCATAATGATAAAGTCCGCAGTCTTCAGTAGACCTACTTGAAGACACTGCTGACAAACAGTATGCTGAAGAAACCATATTAGCATATTATATAGAATATATTAGAATATATATATATTCCTCTAATTGGAGAAAAGAACTGAAAACCTAGAGCATGTAAAAATGTACCAACTTCGGGAAGAAAAACACAAAATTTTTTTCTTCCTCATATTAGTCCTAGTAGGTTTTTTTAATTGATGTGACAGGTTATTACTCTGCAATTGTTTAAAAATCCTACAGAATAATATTTTTAAGAAATTTACAGTAAATAAGAAGAACTCAAAAAACCAATAGAAGAATAATCTTAAAGAACAGTTGCAAATTATCTCTCATGATTTTTCATGGCTATTAGAAAGTCAGTAAAAATGTATTTGATTCATGTTGTTTCCTCTTGAGTATATTTCAAATACAAACAAAGAAAGTAACTTGATAAATTCCATGTTCTCCATTCATTATGACGATATTATCTTATCCTGATTTCAGTGAATTTAATATATAAAGTAATTATTGAAAAATAAGAATTACACATTTTGTACAATGCTTTTGACCTGATAAAGTTTTCTGTTTTGTTTTAAAACCATACCTGAGAAGATTGCAAGTGTTAGTTCAGGATAAGTCCTTGCTAACTCTTCTGACAGTTGATAATATGACACAGAATACAGATGCGGTAAAGGAGAAGGCTGACCCAAAACCCCATCCGTCCGCTGGACTTCCAGTTTGTGAGCATAACGGAACATCTTTGGTTCCAAGATCTACAACAGAAATGTTCAAAATTTGAAGCTAACTATAGAACTACAATGAAAATCTTCATATAAAATCACATTTTAAATTCATGTATCTACTCTCATTTAATGTTTCCTACCTATGCAGATTTCCATACATGTACAGTATTCACCAACACTGTGGTAATTCCATAGAAGTGTAGCTAAAGACTCACTTAATGAGTCTCCAGCAATAAATCTCAGAAATATGCTTTCACAAAATGCTACATGAAATAGAAATTTCTCTATAACAAAATGTGAAATACTATTGACACCTGTATTTCCAAACATCAATTTCTGCTCATCTATAAGACATAGATAGGAGCAATGTAATCTTTGATGTGACAGAGATGCAGCAGGAGGCTAAAGCAGTTTCATACTTTAAAAGTCAGTTTTGGCTGATCTTAAGCAGTGGTGCTCACTTGAGAAGGAAAATGGGGCTGAAAGGGAGGGTGGGTGTGAGTGCTGACATATCATCAGGGGTGTGACTTCTGTGGGTACTTTACTGTTGAATCTAGCTGACAACAAAAATGTTCAAAAAAACCTTCAAGACTTGTGGTCTGAGCCAGGAGCAGCACAGATTTATTTATTTATTTTTAAGCACTAATGCTGCCTGTGATTAAGCTTACCCCTAAATGACCTTGGAGAGGAATATACAAAAGTAAACTAAATGTCTAACAAGATTTTTACTATGATCTCTCCACACAGATGGATGAAAAAGTGTTTGGTATTAATGCAAAAACCAGAAAACTGACTGCTACTCCAGCAGACAGAGTAAAGGCACAGGAAGTAATATGATTCTCTGTAAGGTCCTTTTGGACAAATGGAGCTATATACCACTTTGTTTCTGGGCCAAACTAGAAGAATCTTCATTTAGATCTTGTCTCTTGAAAAAGCAGATATGAAAGTACAAGTCTTGAGTGCTTAGTTCATGAAAACAGACACACTTCCACTGAAGCGTATTTGTGCCAAGTAAAGATCTGGCCTAGCTACATACTAAAATAGAGAAGGAAAAAAAAAATACATACATTGCATTTCACTACCAGACAACTAAATAATAACAGAATTATTTTTTTAAAAAAGACAAAGACAATTCTTATTTAGAAAAAAAAAAATTGCTTACAAACCTGTAATAGTTGCATAGCAACTTCATAGATAGCCCTAGTAGAATCAGCTGCTTTAAATAGTATCAGATTCAGGAGGGTCACTGTATCACACTGGTAATCCCTAGGGAAAAATTGCAAGTGTGAAAACACTTTTTGAAATGAAAGCACACTTTGAAAATGAAAGTTTCAAGTTTTGAAAAATGCTGTAGTACCTGTTTTGGAACACGCTGGCTATGGCTTTAAAACAGCCAGCTGCTACCCGCTTGGAACCTGTGTAACACCGGTCTACGGCCCAGTACATGAGGTTACTCTGGTCAGGGTTGAGTTCCAAGAGCAGCATGACTGCCTCACAGCCTAGCTGGTGAACCTGTTTTCCAGAAAAGAACCAATACATATTTATAAATAGAGAAAAAAAGGCCAACTTACAAAAATGGCATAATATAGGGAAATAGATATTTAATTTAAAAAAAACCAAAACACAAAAACCTGCAATACACAGAATTTGTTCCATCTAAAAACAATGAGATCACAGCTTAAAATAACAGGTAATTCTATCAAAACTCTTTAATGTTCAACTTGCACACACAGTCAGAAATTACTGAAGCAAATAACTAGATAGCTCAACTAACTTTTTTCCCTCAGTTCTAAGGCTACCTAGAGCTATTTACTATTTTCACTTGTCATACTACAAGCTGAACCCCGACCTGAAAGCAGAGAAGAGAAAAGCACTTACACATATTCATGAATTCCAGTGGGATACAAGGGACAGATCTACGTGGAGATGTGCACGTTCTCTTGAATCAAAGTAGCCCACTGAAGCTGTATTTTTACGTAGTTGCAGTATTCATGCAATGAAGGCCCTATCTTTTAAATCTAAAGCTTGCCTTATTGTTTAAATGTAAAGCTCTGTCTTCATAACACCACAGGACCCCCAACAGACTCTACAGTCTCACAAGACTTCATGTTCAAAATCTCATCTTTAAATTTTTAGAAGATCTGCTTATTACTACAACTTAAGCCAGCTGATTAGTTTATAAATAATACATCACGTTTCACTCCTTGCCCTTTCCTCTTCCATTCTGTTTTGTCTTTTCTTAGACTGTAATTAGAAACTGCCTTCTTTGAGAGGGTGAATACACATATTAAGGATGGTGCAAAAATATGTAATACTAAAAACAGCTTTGCCCTTAAGTCACTCTAAAGCACTTAGGTCAATCTGACCGCAAAACTCATTAAAGCATATGTTGACGGCAGTGAGAGTTGTAAACCAATATTGACATTGCCTGTATTACCTTTTTATCTTGTGAATCCAAAATATTATCCAGCCATTTGTATAAATAGCCATCAGATGAGAGCCCAACATTATCTGCAACAGGGCCACAACACAGTACAGCAGACATAGCCTTTAGAAAGTAATTGAAAAACACTAGATTTTAATAACTCAAATATAGGAAGTGCTTTTACCAAGTCCATTAAAATACTAGAAAATTAACTTCTATTCAGTCAAGGGAGGAAGACCAAGGCTAATAAAAAACTGTTTAACATCTTGTTCAAGAAATTATCAAATAATGTTTTTCTCAACTCTCAAATACAAGGAACTGTCAATACTGAAATGCTGAGATATGTAAGAGTTAATATGCCAGTTCGATTGTTAACGTACTGTTACATGAAAGCCTTTCTCCTTAGGCAACTGAGGACAAAAATCACGGGAAGTGAACATTTAGTAGTAATTTTAAGAAATTCTTATAGCAAATGCAATAGTTTACAGTATGGAAAAAGCTGAACCATCATAAAAACACACGTAGGCAGAAGAGAAAAATAATTAAGCCATGAAAGGCAATAAGGTTGTGAAAACCACATCCAAAAAGCCCAAATGTTAAATTTGCGTTAGCAAAGGCGACATAACAATCTATTTCCAAAATTCAAAAAGTGCTAAAATACCTTTAATGCACAGTATTGGTGTCTGTTTATTCGCATGTTCCTATCACTGTATCTGTCGAGGGGAGTAAACATGATACTAAAAGGACCTGCCCAATGACTGAACAACATAAAGAGACTATGGCGTAGACTCTGCTGCGGAAAGACACTTCTTCTCTGGTGTACTGTAAGAAATGCACAGAGTTAGACACACTCTTCTTGTCATTCTTTAAAATAAAGTATGCAAAACAGAAACAGACCCAAACAATGAATATAAAATGAAAAAATCAATGTAAAGACACATTATTTCAACATCATAATAGCTGGCTGCAGGTTTACTACCTTCCTGTTTAACGCTGCTAGTGTACAAGGACAAGCTATTTATTAGTCTGGAAAATTTAAATGCACTGCCAACAAACAAGACTTTTGATAAATAAGAAAATCACTTGTATACTTCCAAACAGTATCAAAAATACACCTTCAAAACTCTTACTGCTGAAGTTATATTCAAAACTGATGGCATAAAGTATTTCTATTAAAGACAGTCATCAGAAGTTACCACAGCATTTTCACATACCTGGAACATTTTGAATTATATTTGCCACTAAGGCACTAAAATGGCATCGGATATCTTTCAATGTATCAGAATCCTTTTCATTTTCTGCTTCTAGGAGTTGTCTCGTTAGATCAACGTACTCAAGTAAAGTGTTGTTGAGGGAATGTGTTTCATTATCAAGGCCACCACTTGCACTTAAAAATGAAATTAAAAAAAAATCAAATAGTATGATAAGTACACACAATGATTTTTTAAAACAATCCTTATTTTTTGTCTTTAAAAAACCCCATACAATCTCATCACTGCAAATATTTAATTCAAAGTCATTTCTTCACCCAGATTCTATTTCAGAGTTAAATAACAAGCTCCGAACTAATAATCAAGTGCCACTATCACAAGTCACTGGTCTTTCCACAGAATTAGTTCTCATGCTGGGGACAAGTGTTAAAAATAATAATAAAAACCCCCCAAACAACCACTCCCACCTCTCCTCCCCCCCCAGAAAAACCCCATGCAATGTGTAAACCAGAAAAAAATAATTACTACTACTTGACATCTATATTGCATACTGATTTTTGGGAGTCAGTCAAGATGTTCAGCACTTCATGACATGCTACTATTAGTAGATTAAACCAATTTATTAACTTTATATATTCACTTCCCATCTTCATTGTTTTAGCATCTGACTAGACATCGGTACTAAACTAAATAAGGAGATTAAAGACTGCATATGATTCAAACCTGCCCTCCTTTGAAAAACAATTGTTAGAAGGGTGATTCCTGTCCTCTCGGCTCCCTCCATAATTTTTCCACATTTGTATTCAAGACAACTGAAAAACATGCCTGGCACACCAAAGGCAGGATGAGGAGCTTTATGGTAGCCTTTAATTGCTTGCTAGCTTCCACCATAGAGACAGACTGGCCTCAGAGAGAAAAGCTGACAAAGTTCCAGGGTGCAGACTGTGGTTTGGAGGTATTTTACATGCACTAATTAAACACCAGTGAGCACCTTAGAAGATAAGAAGGGAGAGTACGATTTTAATGGCTGGGCTCTGAAAAATCTGCATGCCAAAAGGAAGAAAGGCATTTTAGCAATGCTTCTGAGGCAACACTCTGAAAGATACTGTGGAGCACCTTCCTTAAAGATTGAGAATTTCACATTCATCATATTGCTAAGGTTGACAAAGAAATATTTAAGCATCATTGTCTACCAGAAAAGGAGGAGCTAGCCTAGCCATCTCATAGCCTACTTGCTCTTATACAACTCCACCTGCATTAAAAAAAAATAATTGTAATTGACTTGTAAAACATACATCAGAATTTTAAGTCTTCTTTCAAAGTGTCCCTACACAAGTAGGGTAAACTAATAAAAAAACCCCTAACCCAGTTAATGTTCTGCCTCCCTCAGAAAGAAAAAGGTCCAATACTAATACACAGTAGCCCTCTCTGCATAGGACATGCTGACTAGCATCAGGACTCCAGGTGACGAAGAATTCCAGATGGATTACAGAATAGTTGTAACTTGCCTTTTCCAATTCACGTAACTGGTGCGCCGTTTGAGCACACACAAAAAGGAACACGACACTGCCTGTTCAATGCAATGACCTGGTAAATAGTAGCATTTCAAATAAAACAAAGACCACTCTGACAAAACACATGGAGGAGGGAGGGTCTAGAAAGCCAGTGAAGTTCTCAGTTTTATAAAATCATGTCTATTTATTTAGTGGTGTACTCAAACTCACTGAAGAATTTTGCATGCTTGTTATACTGCGTCATAAGAATACTAGTGACTTCATTCTGAATCATAAACATCTTCTGATCAGTGCTGCCCCTACCTGTGACTAATGACACCAGCATCTGCCAACAGTTCAAATATTCGTACTAGCTGTACTCGTAAAATATCTCGACGCCTGCGCCGTTTCATGTTCTATTCAACAGAGGAAACACAAAATTAAATGAGCCAGAGGAAACACTAACTATAAAACCAGCGTGGCATATAAACGCATTATTATATCTGTACTACAACTGTCATCAATTAGCAGGGGTGCAAACCTTTTAAGATGAGTAATCAAAATTGCTAGCAATTTTAATAATGAACATAATTTTTCCCTGTTGCAAATCCAAGAAAAACTACATTTGCTATTACATATATCAGCAAAATAATATTTTTTTTCAGTCTCCTGTTGCAAAGTGCAAAACATAAAACGATGAACTGAAGTACAAATGCCAATCTTTCTACATTTTTGCACGCAAGGCTGACTAAACATACTACAGCCCAGTAAAATTTTGAAACAGAAGTGATATTCCTTCACATCATCTGTACTTAATTACAAATTTATTACTAATAAGAATTATAGTTACCACAAAAAATACTGAGTAATCTTCTCTGAGTTTGTGTTTGCAGAGATTACTATTTCTAGGAATATCTGCTGAGGCTTCTAAACCCTGCTGTAAAACATGCTCTCCATAAGAAAATTTTTAGTCACAGCAGTCAGCCAGGTGAGCTCACAGCTCTTTTCATTTAAAAAAAATAAACAAAGTTGCAGACAGTAGAACTCAATTCTGTGTCTCAGGTACTACTAACTGTGGGCATGTTATTGACGATACAATGAAGTAACAATTGTGTAAAACTATGCTTAAGTAAAAGGAATTTAAAAAATGTCGGAAAGGTTACAGTCATTTTTTCATCATTTGAAACAAAATCTCTTTGATACAGGAATAATACAGAGCTCAAAAAAAACACAAAGCTTTTCTAATGTAAACAGCTCACAATCATTTTTAAAAAGTAACATTTCACCTTTTTACCTGCTATACTGACAGTTTTTAGGTACAGAAATTAAAGAACATTACTAATATTTCTTTACCACCATTTGTGAGAAGATACTTAAAACTGTGTACTGAATACAGTGGAAAATATCTAATTACCTCTGGCCTTCTTTCAAGTGCTTCCTTAATTATAGGATGCAATTCTTCTATTAGTTCCCTGAATTAAAAGAATTAAAAGCATAAAAACAATCATAAAATTAATGTGTCTACTGAAAGACGTTTCACAGCAACTAGTGTTACAATATAACTTAAAATGCCCTCAGGTTTTCCTTCTTTACCTGTAGGTTTCTGAAATAAATCAGCAATGTCTTCTAGAAAGATATGTTTCCTAGTTTAAAGACAGACTACCAAAAGGATGTCTCAATAATTACCACTAAATTTGCATTCAACAAGAATTATGGCATATTTCTGTCACAGACAACTTTCATTTATTTTCATATTCGGGGTTTAACAAAGCCTTATGGTGCAATTAGATACTATTAGAAAAAAAAAATATGTTGGCAGCTTACAATCCAATGCTCTTTCGGTTGTCATGATTCATTTGGTTGTTAATAAATATTGTTTTTTGTAAGGCAAATAATGCTATGCTTTAGACTAGAAGCCAGACTAGTCTCTGAAAACTGAAAAAGACCATGCTTTGATGCTGTGGTTACATTCCCAATTTGTTCTGAAGCTCCAGTTTTTATTACTACTCAGTTCTTTCTGCCAAACTGAGACACTCTTACAACTCCAAAAAGAGTGCAGAGAAAGGGGAAGGAGATCAGCAGTATGGACCTATACAGAGAAAATACTACGGTAAAAACATATTGGGTTTACTTTAATATTTGTTAACATAGTAACTACCACCTCCACTTTAGATTTCTTGGAGTGTGACACATTTTTCTACTTCCAGTGCTATTGTAATTCTGATATATCAACAGAATAAACCGCTCCAAGTTTTTAATGGTAAATGAGTGATTCTTCCGCTTTATCTTTCAAAGGTCCTTCTTCAGATAATGGGTCCAGGTGAACAGAAAGATGCACAAACTTTTGCCATGTACTCAATTACAAGAGACTTAACAATGGTCAGTGATTTTTTATATTTTCTTTCAAATGTAGGAAACAGAAAAGAATTTGGAAGGCGCTTTTTTTGTGTTAAAACATAGTAAAGGATCAGCTTCCAATGGAGAGCAAGAGACACCTAGACAAGTTCACGTGATCAGTAACAGAAAACAAAAGAGAAAAAGAATATTCTAGCAAGTTTAAGTGGACTGCATATACACATAATCTATAATGAAAAAAGCTCCTGAGTAAAAAATACCAAGTGCAGAGGAACAGTGCTTAAAAAAACAAATGGTGAAGGATGGGCTACTGTTAACATCTGGTGTGAGTACGCACGTTGGACAGAGGAAAAAAGCTAGTCGTCAGAAACAAAATGTAATTCAGAAAAAGAAATCAGAAGACTGATGAAAATCAGATACTTTTTAAGTTTGCTGAATAAACTGTTTCTAATTTAGAAAACAAGAATTTCTGGTTAAATCCCTTCTAAAAGCATTTTCTAGACTTGTAGAGCACAATTATGATTTAAACTGTTCTGCTGATCTTCAGGGTCATGGGACGAAGTCTTGCTTTATTCCTGGTAGGAAAGTAAAGTCAGATATGATATACAATTTGAAGATTATCTATCAAAGGAGTAAACCAGAATACTACCACCAAGAACTTGGCATTACGATTTAAAATACATCTTTGGCTCATCTGCCATAATATGGGACACAAGTGATTGGAGAGAAGCAGCATCTCATTCAAAACCCAGAGTGTTAGTGATCCCTGGTTTCTTCTGCAGAAGCAGAGTTGGTTGCTATAGCCTGGTACAACTCCCTAACTCTCCATTATAAGAGGCTGGCTGCTGTCAGAGAACACCCAATGCTGAGCACTGGCCTTCCCAGGAAGTTTTCTTCCCCTCAGATGTTCTCGCTCTTCATCCATCCTCCACAAAGCAAGAGCTGTCAGTTGAGGATGGTGTCATAGAGATGCATTTTAAAATGCATCGCTTCCTGGCACAGAGCTGCCATTTCACCTTAGTGGATTTGTGCTACACATTGACAGTACAGTACATTAGGATCTGAAGAAAAGTACAGTGCAGTTGAGGTAGGAATGCCATCGTGGCTAGATAGACCATCCTGAACTAGGCATTTATAAAAAGACTTGTCACAATAGGATAACAAGAAGTTTTGGATTACGAGCTGAGTACAAATATGCTGAACATGATGTATGAAATTAAAGTGACTTGGCACAGATTTAATTCTGCTACGGTAGATCACAGTTACCAGCACCCAAACTAATCCACATGGACTTGTCATTCGTGCAACATATGAGAAAGGTGTATTAGTTACGAAGTTACAGGAAGTTTATACAGAAAGAAAAGGAAAGGCAGGGGGAGAGGGATGCACCACTAACTTCAGAAGCTTCAGCACTAGTCAGAAAACAGTGTCAACTAGTTTTTTTTTAGTTTGATCCAAAGAATCTCTTTTTAGAATAGTTATAATGAATCTCCTACACATAAAGAGCTCAGAAACATGCTTGTTGGCAATACCAATAAGGAAGAGTTTATTAACACTTACAAACATGATTATAATATTTCAAATGTTAGAAGTCCATACAGTATGTTTTTTCACATAAGGGCAGCCTTGAAAATTAATAAAAGGCAGCTGTTTATTGTTTCAACTAACTTACTTTTTCTTTACACAGACATGACCTCTACATAAAATTATTTCAACCTCTAATATCTTTATCACACCACTAATTGCTAGAAAAGACAATGGTAATCAGTTTTCACAGCTTTTTTAAAAAGTCTTAAAATAAAAAAAAAGCTAACCTTTTTTCCCTGAACTCTGATTCCCCAGCTTCGTAATCAATTAGCATAGAAACAGATGAAACACAATAGTTACCTAAAAGCTCCTGGGTTGGTCCTGCCAAGTCCCAGCACAAGGGATTCTGTAATTTCCATGCTCTCAGAGCGCATCATTGGAACTATGTGTTTAAACAGGGAGGAAGGGGATGGAATGCCAATGATCTAAGAAGAAAACCAGAATAAACCAGAATGAAGTAGTTACCAAACAATCAGGTGGTGTGACATTAAAACATCTGCTGTAATTCTACAGTTTTCTCACACTGATCAGTGACTTAAAACAATAAAAATTAAATTTTTGACCTTTGACATGGAAAAGGACTTTCTGAAATACTGAAGTAATACTAAGTAGTTCTCCATTCCTTGTATAAATGAATTTTCATTGTCAGACAGGGCTCAACACAACAAACAGATGATTTGCACATTTAGTGTATCTGTCCTTCGGGAGAGGAACCAAACTTCTGGTGTCCAACTTCTTAGACTCTGTTGCAGCTCTCAAAGAGAACAAAGCTTTCAGTCTACAGTTTCTCAGATTTAGGGAAAGGATCTTGGTAATGAACAAGTGGAATAGGTTGCTTCTGCCAAAAATCTGCTGCATAGTTCATGAGTTATCTTCACATGATACTGCACCTTCTACAGGAAGCCAAAAAGGGGAACAAAAAGAAGCAAAGAAGCAGAAAACAAACAAACAAACAAACAAAAAAACCACCACAGAAAAACAAACTTCAGGTGATATGAAGCAAGTCAGACAGAAAACTGTCTGTGACTGGGAAAAATATAACAAATACGTCACTGCTTCAGCTGCTGAAGTGAGAGGCTTATTTGCTCAGAATTGCAGAAGTCCGCTGACAGTAAAAGAAAAAAAAAAAAAGGAAAAAAAACCTTAATGGTAAAAAAACCATTTCCTCATTAGTGCAGATAAGACTTTGAGACTGGGTTAATGTTTTCACAACATGATTAGACTTTGCCTTAAAAAACATAAACAGAAAAGCCTCTACAACAGATTGGGAAAAGCTAACTGAAACACTATCATAAACAAATGAAGGACAAATTATACTAAAACATGTTTTCCGACAAATTACACCAGTTTCTAAGAATTGTGATAGTTACTATAAGCCTCAGGTGTTTCTACTTCCAATAACATGTAGACTTATTTACAGTAAGCATTAGAAGAACCTACTCTTGAATCAATGCTATAACCACTGTCAGGAGTAGACGCCAGCGTCTCAGGAGGGGAACATCTCACAGAGCCTGTGGAGGTGGAGGAGTTTGAAGAAGATGCTGCACTGCAGCAAAGAATCAGGTAGTTTCTCCAGAGCCCAATATAGGAGTCACTGCTTGTAGTAGTATTCACTTTCTTTGCATTGATGGGGCTACTATTAAAAAAAAAAAAAAAAAAGCAAGCTCAGTATATTAAAGAAAGCTTACCAGGTTTCACTTTGGTTTTCTAATGAATTTATTTTTCAATTATGCATATGCCATCACTTAAAAATTGTTACCACAGTGAACTCTGAATAAATTGTTCAGAATAGACACCTACATCAAGAACGTATGCTTTTATAGTCAAATCTGTTTAACTACGATAAGGCCAAAGGCATGGATTAATTAATCTTTTTAGCAGATAACTTTTTTCCAGATAGAAGTGCTTTGATTTTTTTGTTATATAAAGCTGAATTTAACCCACTGAAAATATCAACAGTGTATACATCACCTCACTGAAACACAATGACATTACAATGATGATAAGTCTTGAAAGAATACGCCATATAATATGTTATATTTACTTTAGGAATTAACTTACTTTATATCCACTTGTGGAGACAGTAGTTGGAGTCTGGTATAAGCAAATGTCCAAGCATAGCTTACAGCTGTTGGGCAGTGTTTTGGAAGATTTTCCTGTTTCATAAAACTTGAGAGACTTATAATCCATGGATCTTGGCCTTGAGTCACATGTGCAAATATCCATATATGTGATGGACTGACCACATCAAACTGGTGGCTGATTGGGGAGGAATTCCAGTCAGCCAGAGTTTGTAAATCTATTGAACTGGGACAGTACAGTAAAGTAGTCTGTGTGTATAAAAAAGAGAACAAGGCAATATTTAATATCCACATATACTAAATAACAATCTCTTCATTGTTAAATATCTAATGAAGTATCAGTGTCAAAACCACATTTGCAATAGATAAAACACATTACTTAATTTATGAGGTTTTTTTTACAGAAGTTCCTAATGTGGACAGTTATATAAACATGCTGTTAGGGAAGGACCTGGACACAGGAAATAGAAAATTCTAGAAAAAGGTCGTTTCATTCATGATACTCAATTTTTCCAAAAAATTATGGACTCTAAAAACCTTATTACTGAATTCCAACTTGTTTCCTAAACCTAAAATCAGAAGAGCTTCTCATTGATACTTAAGAGTTAATTATAAATATATAAATATGGAATTCAGTTGTTTTTCATTGATAGTTATTTATAGCTTTCATCACAGATAAAAGACACACTGACTGTTAAGACACCGTGTCGCTGCAGAAAAAAGGCAGTGGTCTTTGCTTCAAAGAAATGGTAATCTATGAACAAGATGAGAAAAAAATAGATTTAAACATCGTTCTCCGCGTGTATACAGTAGCCATAGTGACAAACTATTGATCAGAGAGCATACAATGGTGGTGTCAGCTTCACAACATTCCTTAATTTTTTTTGAGGGGGTGTTTTTTTGTTTGGTTGGCTTTGTTTGTTTTTCTAAGATGATAAATTGCTGCTAAAGTTTAGCATGAACATAGTGCCACTTTCATTTAAAATATATACAATTTGTTTGGGACAGTTTTGCAGAATTACCTTATCTTACATCCAACCTAACTTAAAAACCTGTCCTACCTGGTCAGCCCCAGTGAGATGTATGAAACTCTCCAGGATAGTAGCACTTAGTCTGTCCATTACATCTATAGCCAAGTCATCATCACTCTGCAAAAGACAAAATGCAAAGCATAAAAAACTCAAAGAAAGTCAAGAGAAAAGCAGCTTCATTAAGCAGTCAGAAGAATGGGTCACTGACTCTTACCTTAGAAATTTCTAAAAGTGTGAACAAGGCCCTTATTTCTCTGAGAACACTGACAGCTAATCTCCTGGTGGCAGGCCTTGTGCTGCAGAGGATGACCAAAGCAAAGCCTTCCACCACGTGGAATACACTAGAATAAAGGGCCCTCTCCAGAGGAAGGGTATTGGCAGCTCCATTGGATACACCATGCTAAGCAAAAGATGGCAGAAGTTAAGCAAATTAAAAGAAAAGTAAACACAATCAAGTCATAGTTCCATTATTGATGATGGCAGAATTTATCATAAGACATTTAGATCTTGTTTGGCTACTAGTCAAATATTGCATAATAAGAATGGCAGAAATATTCAGCTACTTTGTTTTTTTAGTATGTCTCTGAATTCAGTCCAAACAAATATCCCAAGAAAGTCTTTCTTATTTTATTTTCTCACAAGAATGATGCAGTGAGGGCAAAATTAAAAATAAATACATACTACTCTTACGTATAGGACTATATAAAATTAAATTATTTGAAACCTTTCTGTTTGCTAGTAAAAAGCAGTGCTTTTTTTCTAGTGCTACTGTGTAATCACTTCTACTCAACACATTTCCAGTTACACATGATGACTTTTGGTGTAAGCAAAACTGTGGCCACGAATTAGTATTCAGGAAATACTTAATTTTTTGACAAAGATGCTGATTTAAAATTATAGGTCTAAAAACTCTTCAAGCACTCTAAGAAAGTAAGCTGAATTTTTATTACTTAACAAAAACAATAATGCCTACCAATAAAATTGTATGTAGATTCAAATTACATTTTTACATCAACGGACCTTATTTAGAAATACCTGAGAATCTTGGTTTTTATTGTGCATTTGGGCTGCTTGTTTCCACTGATTTATGAGCTGCACTAACATTTTTACTGCATTGTCAAGAAGCGTTGGGTGGACATCAGTCACTTCACGCACAATAAAATATACAAATCCTGAAAGAACATCTTCCCGCCAATCTGGAAAATCAAGCATTAATGCTTGGAGAGTATTGAAAGCCAAGGCACGAAGTTCTTCATCCATATGAATTGTCAGCCTGTTTAGAAAAAATACTGGTATCATCACCCTACATTGGCATACTCTTAACCAGCCTTTAAAAAATTAAAGTTTGGTGTTAACTCTTCCTTCTTTACTGTACAACATAGAACACTTCCACACAGATGCATTTTCTGCACCGAATACATCTGATAAACTGGTTCCTAACAGAAGGCACTACTACTACAGCAAAATAATGTAAGACTTCAGAAAACTTGAGATGGTCAAGTCTTTCATAGAGGCACATCTTTGCATACATCTGAACAACCACCTTAGAGCTTAGTAGGCAGCCACTCTGTGATGTACAGATTGTTTTCTTCATATTAAAATTCAAAAGATCAGATTATTTTTGTAGATAAAGCAGCTTTACCTTGGATATGAGAAAAAACTTGCAAAAAAAGTTTGTATATATACTTAAAAAGATGTCTCAGTCTGCTATGATAGAAACTTATCCAGCACTGTACTATCATTTAATACCTTGTGTCTTTTATGCCATTTTTGTCACTGAAGAAAAATTGTTAGACAAACCTTAGCCTCCCACATTATTATTAACTTTTATATATATGTGTCTCCACACGCTATATTCAAATGAATTTATAATTTCAAAGTGAAAAGCTGCGCTGTATTCCTGCAACAAGACCATTTTTGTACTAAAACTGAGGGGGGGAGGGCGGATAAAAAAACCAAGGAAAAAAAGGAAAAAAAAAAGGAAGGTTTATCACTCTAGTAATATGTAAAGACTGTCTGCATGTAACACAATGACATATTCTCATTAAATGCTCAGTTTACCCACCTGCAAACACCTGCTTGGCCAGTTGTCTCAGTTACTTAACAATACTGATAAGGCACATTCAATTTAAACCGAGATAAGAGATGGGAAGAATATAGGTAGTAGTGGACCAAAAAAATGGAAAAAGGAAGCAGGATTAGTAAATAATAATTAAAAAAAAGTTTTCCATGAGTGCCTGCCTTATATTTTGGTAATGTCAAACACAAATGCCTTTATGATAATTTATAGTACGAGCAACGGGGCGGAGGGGAATAACAGTAGTAACAAGAAGATAAAACAAGTTCAAGAAACAAAGCAACAGAAGTAAATTTTACCTTGCAAGCAATTCAATGAGGTCAGTCCTGCTCATGCCATCTGGAATCAGTCTTGGGATAGCAGCAATACAAGTTCTGAACAAATCTATTTTAGGTTTTCTCTCACCCCTACAAAAACAGTTTACAAGCAACAAAACATCAGGAAAAATCCACTTCAGTATACCACAAATATTTTCAATTTCATGTGAAAACTAAGGAGCTAACAAAAATTTTTATCATTAATTAATGAAATTAACACTCATTTAATAGTCAAGTAAAAAGCCAACAACTGGAATGCATTAATCATGGCATCTGTAACATTACAGCATAAAAATAACGATGCAACTTTGACAGTGAAAATACTGTAAATCAGTACATACGTAATCATGTCTTCAGGTTCTTTATTGGACATCTGCACACTAGTCATGCACATGGGCCTTCCAACTTCTTTGTCCAAATGCCTAAGAATGCTATCTAGTGCTTTTCTGACTTGAGGGTAGTATATGGACATTCCTGAAAAGCCAAAGAGTTCTGATCACCTCTTGCATTTGTTCTCATTTAGTTCTGACATTTTTAATAAAATATCTGCCACTTATTCAGCTTAAGAAAAAGTTCTTCTTGTATAAAAGATGACATAAAACACACACTTTAAGTGTCAAAAGAAATGCTTGTTAAATGAGTAGTAGGAGGTATTACATGAAAGTAGAAGTTTCTTTCAGAAAGAACATAAGCAAGGAAGCAACCATTAGTTGCTTTTCTGTTTCCTCAATTTTGAGCATTTTAGTTCTAGTTTAAATTTTACATATTGAAACAGTACTTTAGAGATGACCTCCTCATCCACAGAAGATCAATAGAGCACAGTGATCAAAACTGTCTTACTTCACTTCAGCTGTGGGACACTTGGGACATTCTAGAATGACATCAAGGCAACAAAACCTCCATGCTATTTACCACACTAACTGCACTCAGGCTTCTTCGTGCTAATTTTAATTTGGCAGTGCAGAACACTTCAAAAACAGCCATGGATTTGGTCTCGGACCCCAGAAGGTCAATACTGTCTAAAAGCCCTCTCTAAAGAATCAAAGCAATTCTGTTAAAATTAGATTCTAGCAAACAAAATAAATACTGAAATAAAGTTACACAAATACACTGTTTGAGAATAACTGAGAATATAGATGCATGTATCAGAATATCAACTCACAAAAGAATACAACATACCTATAACTTTTGCTTCCTCATCTGTCAGTGTTTTATTAAGAAAAATTTTCTTCACACGGAGAGTATTTCCTGAGGGAAGAACAACTCCTGTTGTTGGCATTGGTGGTTCACCATCTTTTTGCTGTAAGCTATCTGCTATTACAAGGAAGACTCTGAGGCCAATATTCATCCTCTTCAACAGCAAAAAAAAGGGAAGAAAAAGGAAAGAGAAAACAGAAGAAATCAGAACATTAAAGTAACACAGATGAGGCAAAACATAAATTGCATTTTTCCTCTCTTAAACAGACAGCACTATGGCTCCAGTAGAATAGGCATTATTTAAATGTTACATATTAGGGTAAAGTAACAAGAATAAAGTTTTAAGTCTTCAGTGCCTCCCCACAATTCTGATTCCAGTTAACCGACTTAGCATGGGCTAACATACCAAATATTTCATAGCACAGAGCACTAAAGGACTTAACATGAAGCTCAAGAATGACAGACATTGCTCAAACATTTCATCTGATAGATGGGCTCTTGAACCGTAACAGCTAGGTATGAGTTCCCTGAAAAAAGGCTTTACAGCTATCCTGTAACAAAAACGTAACCAGAAATGAAACAACAGTTGTGCATAACCAAAATTACTACTTTAGTTTTAGCAGAACACCCCTTCAGATATACATTAATCTGTTTTCATCCTGGCTCAAAAATAGTTAACCACTTTCTCCTAAAAAAATCCTCCAACACCCTGTTCTCGCTACATGCAAGTAATGAGCTCTTTTTACCTCTGGATTAATAGTGAAGGTTTTAGGTGATTTTCCAACACTAAGAAGATCAAATATTATTTCTTTCATTGCAAAATCCAAACGTTCCTGTAAAGGAAAATACATTGATATGATCATCTCTTTTCTGTTAATATGCATAGTTTTAACTTCTGGGTATCAGGTGCTGAGTAGTATGTCTCAAAAGTTTAAAAAAATAAGAATAAAAAAGTTTTTAAAATATCCCTTTTTTCCTTTTTATTCTTATGACTTAATGTTCTTTTTTAAATAGTACAATTTAACACAGCTCATCCCCTGATATGGTTGAACCATTTCTTCTGAAAAAATTACCAGACAATTCTGCTCAGGTCAAACACATTTCTACAAATGAGACGAACTGTTTTAGATAAATAGAAATTAGTGGTAAAAAGAGGAGCCCTAGGAAACAAATATAAACAGTGAATGGTTGCATGTCCTGCCTCATCTCTGTATGACCAGAATCAAATAATTTTGGAAGCTGAAACACAGACAAGTTATCTGCAAGACAAGAGAACGTCTCTAATCTATAAGGTTACAGATGAATGAGAGTTTATCTTGTGAAATCATACCCTGCATTTTGATATAAGGACAAGAGAAGCACCTAAAATAATATAAATCATAATGCAGTATTAACTACACACTACTGCATGCATTGCATATTTTTTCTGTCTACAGAGGCGAGTCTTCAGGCTAAATATAAGTGCATATTACTGTCTGAATGCTTTGTCCGGTATAAAAATATTAATATACTAATTTTATTAGTGTATATATATACACACACCAGTACAATATAAATGTAAATATTAATCACCGTAATGTTCATACACAACAGTTATTGAAGTTAAATTAACTTTGCCACTAGTAGAAACGGAACGAGTCACTTCATTTATTCTACATATTTGGGGAAATTCTATTCAAGACATAAGACCATTTCAGTGGAAATATTTTAAAAACTAACCTTAAATTTATAGTTATTCCAAATAACGTTCATTCTATTCTTATAGCTCTGCCTAGACATATTCTTACCTGAGCAATGAACTGAATAATCTTCACAAATATATTCAGAGGTGTGTCTCGTGGGACCACACTACGTGATCCTTTTGGAAAAAGTGCTGATACAATGCTCATGAGACGGCTAGAAGAATTTGGACACACAAAGAAATTAAAAAAACATTTAAAAGTAACTTCTTATAATAGCATAGATGTTACAGTTCAAATCTGGGAGGCAGGGGGGAGGGCAGTTACTACTAAATAATACAGAAGCATATGACAGGTAGGACCACCTACAGAAAGTACAGCCCTCTGCTGTCACAGGCAACAGTATCATGGGTTCATTTATAAAGTGACATGGTCTAGTTACTTATAGTCAGGAGGAGGGGCAAAATCTGAATAACTATTCCAAATTCTCATGATGCTGATTTATAAAGAAAACCTTTTCATTTCCAGCACATACTTAGTGATGGCCACTTCATATCCTATTTGTTCTGGTACCATTAGTGTCTTTTAACTTTATTAAATTTCCTGCTTCTTATCTCTCCACCCTCTTCCACCCCTGCATATCCCTGTGAAGACAATTGTAGACTACTCTTTTTCCTCATCAAAGTAATCACGTTCTTTTGGTTTTCTCTATTAAGATGAAGTCTTTGTTCCCCTGTTTACCTGACTTGACCATCCCTGAACTGGCTTCATGATGTATTCATATCACTAGGGCAGAAAAAACCCCACCAACCAATAGTTTAAAATCCTTTGCATAACAAACTTACCTTTGAGTTACAGTGTTGCTTTCACATTTTATTCTAATAACATAAACCCATAATAACCTATACAAAGATTCCAGTGCAACTCGGGACATTTTGGGATCTTTATTCTGTAAAATAAATGAAAAATACAGTTACCTGTGAGACAATCAGAAAATTCTATTACTACTCTTCTGCCTTTAGGGAATATTTTCAGATTTTTTTAACAATGAAAACTGATGTGTTTAATACTGACTACAAGTTTCAATGTGTTTTCCTAAAAACGACCCTGTATTACATATTTCCAATACCACTCAAATATTGAACTAGTAATTCCACATTATTTTACATGTCTTTCACTCTGAGAGCAGAGGAGTAACTAAAAAAGCAGATATCCCTCTTGAGATGAACCCCAAGAGTGTATTGCTTCCAAGAACTTTTCTCAGAAAGCTATTGGTAACGAGTACCCAGTTTATAGCAAAATAACTTATACTTTGTCTAAAACATCCGAGTAGCTACTTTGGATCAGGCATGAGGTCTAGTCATCATTCAGTTTATGACATCAGACAGTAGCAGGTGCAGAAGAACGCAAAATGGGGCAGGCACACAAGGATGCTTCTGCAGGTGTGCACTCCAGATATCACCCAACGTAGCCATTTCCTCTGGGCTGCTAATGCTAATGTTTACTCACTTCCAATGAATTTTTATCGTAACAGTTAAGCTATCTTTTTCTTTAATACAAAATCTCATGGCATAATTCAGTTTAAATTACACACTGTATGAAAAGCAATTATGTTTTTTGTCTTAAAGATGCTACTAGGAGTTTGGCTTTGCTCCTCCTAGCTCTTAAACTGTGTAAAACAGTAAAAGTAACTAACGTTCTTCGTACTAACTCCAGCAATCCCTTTTCCAACTAGAGATTCTTGGTGTATTTATAATATTGAAATGTCCATCGAGATTCTTGGAATTTGCCATAAGTATGAGCTTATTAACAGAAAAAATTATTCCCAGTTGCCGTCCTTCTAGGCATTCTCTCAGTTAAAAAAAACAAAAACAAAACCCCCATAACAACAAAAACGCAAAACAAAACAAACCGCAAAACAAATACCCCAAACAAAAAATAACAACAACAAAAACCTACAAAAGAAGAACACGTTCCTCATCTCCAGTGAAGTCTCTCTGTTTCAAGACATATCTATATCATGGCTTGAACCTAACTAATTTCATATGTTGTGGCCTCTGCCAGAAGCCAAGGAGTCAGAATTGCATACTTTGACCTCCCAGTACAAGCGGAGTGCAATTTCACAAAGGGTGAAAGTGCATCTAAGACCATATTGTTTTGAAAAGAGATGGTCTCATTCCTGGTTGCCTTATCTGCAGCCTCACCGCTCCCTCTGTATTGAATCCAGCAGTAAGAAAGTCTAACTCACATCAGTAAGTTGATCCAAATAATTTCATGGCTATATCTGTGCAATAGACTATACAAAGGAGAGCAATTTGTATTTTTAACACAGGTGGGTCAGGGCTATAGGTTTTGGCAGCAGCGTACTTTAAGGAAGGCAAAAAGCCTACCACAAAATCAGAGAGGCAAAAGTGGTACTTTAGAGACAAATAACATATTCGACTGTTTATCAGAATATTAGAGGGAATAGCTTAACCCAATCTACATCAGTGATAATGCTGTTCTACCCTCCACATTGATTGATACCTCTGAATTAGGACACCTGCAGCTAGACAGTGGGTAAATTCAGGAAGGTGATCTGGACAAAACCTAACCAGTAAAAAGTTACACGTGTCCCTGGTTAGCATTCAGACAGAAAACTGTCCCACTGTCCAGCTAATTTACCAGCAGCACTACTATGAGGAAGAAAGCAAACATTCATAATTGAACAAGGGGGTGAGACTGTGAGAGCTCTAATTTTAACCAACTTAAACAGAAAAAACCCATTACACTATTACTTATCATATTTAGTCTATAGGCCAACAGTTCTTGATGTTCGAAGTAGGCTGGTGAATTAATTGGTATATGCATTATCAAAGTCTATCTGGAATGCGGTGTCTAGAACTGAGTAATGCTTCAGTTTCCTTATTTCTGATATTCCAAAGGAGAGCTTGATTTACAGGTCCAGAAGAAAACCAAAAATTTACTATTGGCTTTCAATCATCTAATAAAAAAAATGGTGTAGGTAGCAGATATTTTACAATGTGTTAACAACATTCCATCTCTTAGAAGGTTTATCATCCAGTGTAGCTACTTCTGATTAGTTATGATAAACTATGCTGCTTTGTTAAAGAAAAACAAACAAAATCATGTATGAAGAGGCATTCACCTTGTAAAAAGGGTTACAAAATAAATACAGCAGTACTTCTAATCTCTTAAGCATTGAAAATTTTCATTCTCTTTTCCTACAGCTGAGAACTAATCAAATACACTAGAAGAAAATGGCTTTTTGGGTCTAATTTATGGCACATTGCCCGTATACTTGGTGTCAGTATGTCAGTATTTCCTCTTATCTCTGAGATTACTGCAAATAGAATACGGTATACGTGCCTGTGTAATTCACCAACCTGGCTGAATTTCAGTCATTTTAGCTGATGCCTGTCAGATTTTAAAGCACTCTATCCTGTTTGGTTTTTTTTTCCCCCCCAAACATAGTTTTGTTTAAAATCCTAAAAGTTTTAACATAAATTATATCCGTTGACTATGGAATAAGCTGTCAAGAACCGTATCTCTGTTACAAAATCAAAAAAAGTAAGAGCAAGCGGTCTTACATGACACATTAAGATGAGTCAATAAAACATATCTCAATGAAGACAAGAAACAAAATAGCATTTTTTCCATGTTAGTCAAATGTAGTCACTTACTGAAGAAAGTACTTTTTAATACTGATGTTAAACTTTTCTTCTGTTCTGAACTAAAACAATTTCTACTTTTTAAAACCTGCAAAACCAACAGTGTAAAAGTCTTTCAAGTTAGTGCACTGCAAGTTGTTACAGTAAATCAATTTCACATTGTTTAATTGTGAAAATGTTCTCAAGTTTGCTGGCATGCAAGACACTTTTTGAAACAAATTAACAGGAAAAAACCCCACACATCTGACTAGGTAGTTTACTTCCTGTGGAAACATGCACTGCTGTTCAGGGAAACTAGCTGTGATATTGATACTCAATCTCACAAAGCCACATTTTCACCCTCAAGGAAAAACTGGTATTAGAGAATTTTCTCATCTTTCTCCTTTATTCCCTGGCAACAAAAAGAAGACCTTTGAAACATTAGCTGTTCTTTGTCCTGTTGCTTCCTAATAGTACTAACAGCAATTGTACAAAGAAAGGAAAGCACAAGGTACAACAATTAACATAAAAATAAAACCAAAGTATTTACATGAGACAAAGCAACAGTTTCACTGAGTTATAACATTTTAACTCACCTGCAGTGTTTCTATTTGTTTTCTGATACTGTTGTTAGATGGCATCTAAATAAAGCAATGTGAGACAGCAAAACAATAACAAACATGAGAATGGGAGGCACATGCATGTTAGATGAAAAAAAAGCACAAAAACAACAGATAGCTGTGTAGTAAGGACTCTATTCAGTAGAAATACAGGCTTTGCTACAGTGGCAGAAAGCATTCCTCCAACTTTCAAGGTTTTGTTGGTAACAGACACTAAGGTTAAACTGTGAAAAATAAAATTATTCTTTTCCATCCTACAGTGGTGAAGAATGATAGACATTTTTCTCTCCCGTTTCAGCAGCTTTCTTAAATGTTCCTTCATCTCCCTGGAAGAGGTGGTAAAGATACCACGACAACTCAGCTTTATCCAAGAATCTATCAGCTTTCTGATAAGCCTGATAAAATTAGTCTATCTAAATACTAGTCAAAAAAGTAAGCAAAATGTTTTATAATACTGACTCAGTGCTATTCTCTGCTGAACAAATTCAGAATTTTGCCTACACTACAGTGTGTAAAGAAATGCCGTGCTGGGCGCCATGCTGAAACAGCATCCCAACTGCTCTGTGGGACAAGGCCAGCTATACCTATGCCAAGAGACATTATTTGGCACACTCCAGGTCTAAACTACTCTTACAATGCACTTCTCTGCTATTTGCATTGCTTCAGACCCAGAGCTATTTAGTCCTTCCTCATAGCAATGACAGCATGAAAGATAAAGGGAACAAAAACCAAACCTAGGCTTCCTCCTTTCAGCAAGGTTAAGATGTTTTCCCCGTACAATAACCTTGTTTTGAAGATAGCTAAAGCTAGCATGCACTGAAACCCAGTACAAAGAGTTTACAAGGGTAATAAATATTGCTAGTATTGGTTCAGGATTCAGAGCACTCTCAGGAGCATTACCAAGTACAAAGTAGCACCAAAATACTGCAGGGCATGAATATAGGTACCATGAAGCAACTGTGAAGATTTGAGTTTTCACACCATGGCCAATGGGAAATTGCGTATTTCTGCCACTGAAGTGTGACCACACGGTGTGTACTGCTAGGTAAGAGTTCGCACTGGGTAGTCACCAGGGAATAAACTGAGCACCATGAATCCATTACCTATGTTACTTCTTGGCAACCTGTTAATGGGCCTGTACTCTTCATAGATATCCCTGTGACAGTCTAAGTGTTATCATTACTTTAATCGTTAATTTTAACTAATATGGTAGGGGTGGATGAACCTTTTCAATACTCTGAAGTACGTCCCAGTAACTCTCAAAATTACTTGATTAAATAACAAAGACACTAGAGACAATGGATTTGGAATCCTTATTGCATTTTACATACTTAAGTAACTGCAAATAAAAGAATGTTTGTCATTAGGAAATTAGGAAACAAAATGGGGAAGGGGAAATCCAAAATACTAAACTGCTGTGAAATTCAGATTTATAAATTAATGAGATTACTTATTACAGACTGCATGCATTTAATTAAGTTCAGAAACAAAGGAACACATTAATTCACAAGACACGAGGACAGTCAGAGTGTATTTTTCAAGATTAAACTCAACAAAGTTTCTCAGTAAGCTAAACATCCCAAAAAAGAAATAGTATTTGGTGGGCTAAGTTAAACCAAGCTGTAAAATATCCTAAATAACTCATTGATGGTACAGCATCCTAACACTGCAAACTATGAATTGCAGAAATTAATAGCATAGAATCATAGAGTGGTTGGGTTGGAAAGGACCTTAAAGATCATCTAGTTCCAACCCCCCTGCCACGGGCAGGGACACCTCCCACTAGCCCAGGTTGCTCAAAGCCTCATCCAGACTGGCCTTGAACACCTCCAGGGATGGGGCATCCACAGCTTCCCCGGGCAACCTGTGCCAGTGCCTCACCACCCTCACAGGAAAAAATATCTTCCTAATATCTGCTGAATAGAGCCTTACAGTAAACGTGTTAAGCTGTTAGTAGTTAACAAAACCAAGTAAAATATAAAATGCATGCTCAGCAACTACCAGTTAAACTCACTGGCATTTATAGCTTTAATACATCCACTACCAGCAATGGACGTTATGCCAGAAAAACACAGCTCCCTAGATTGTAAGAATTTTTAAAAAAACTTTAAAAACAAAAGCAAAAGCAGCCTCCATAAGCAAAATAAACAACAAAACAAAAATCAAGGTAAATATTGCAAAAGAACTGCAAATGTTAGATGAAAAATACACAAAAACCCAACAAGCAACAGAAAAGTGTGAAAGATGTCACAAAAGCCAAATGACCCTTAAAAAACAATCCAAGCAGCTAAACCTGTTGCCTTCTGACTTCATGACGGTTTACCTATTTTACTAATAAGCACTGGAATTGTCACTCATACCTAACCCGAACTAATATTGTGAAGGCAGATGAAAGAATTTATTAAAATTATCAAAATCAATACATTAGACAAAATCATGAACTATGGTAATCAAAACTAAGGAAAAAACGTACAACAATTAATGCTACAAGAAAGTCAGTAAAACAAATCCCCAATTTCTAAGTATCTTGATCTCTTTATCAATCAACTCACACTTACAATGCTATCAACTGAAGCCATGTGTTAAAGGGACACCATAATTTGGAACATATATATCACAGGCTGTATATACAATATCTTTTCGGGACTCCCAATTCATTTTCTACTCCTTCAACAAGTGGAGAAGAGAGAGAACTTTCGCATTTACTATACATTCTACTTAGAGAAGTAGACAAGCCACTTACTTTCTCACATATAATTTGCGCATGAAGAATTACGTTTTGTACTTTCTCTGGCATAAATAGCATTTGTTAGCAACACTTCCGTAGATTTACTCAATAAAACAAGCCACATCTATTTCCTGCATTACATAGCATCACAAAAACCTACTACTAAGTTTAATACTAATAGAGACTGAAGATATTTCATTTTTAAAATAAAAATATTTCACAGTATCCTTTTAAACAGCCAAATATTAATTTTTATTTGGCACAAGAATACATTGTAACAAATGCTATTGATTTGTGACAGTTCCTGAATTGAAAAGGAGTCTTACCTTTAGATGTGACAAACAGTTCTGCAGGAAAACGTGCCAGTTATTTAAAAAAAACTGTTTCTGACTGACACACAAGAGGCAGGTGATCAGTGGATACAAAGCCTATGAGTAGGGGGGAAAAAGAATTGATCAAATTGCTCTTTGCAGATCTCCCAAGCCTTGTACATTGAGAATGAGACACGGTCAGTTCTTGTCTCTCACTCGCCCAATTTCAGCATTGCACGGCAGCCTTTCCCCTGCACTAGGACACACAGTCATGGTGTCCTGGGTATAACCTATGTGCCATAAAAGCTCACGGTGTAAGACCAGGGCAGTCGAACCATGCTGAAGCTCATCCCCCAGCAAGGCCTGATTTCAAACAAAGACTGCAAGCGGATCTCACCTTTCATATATTCTACAACCACGACTCAACTCATGGGGTCTTACATGCTGGGAGAGGGAACTGCCTCAAAGAAGAATACTCAGGAAGAACATTACTGATTCAGTGAAAACTGAGGCAGACTTTAGGTTGTCAGAAATGTTACTTCTCCTCAAGGTTTACTTTCAGTAAAGAATGAAGCACTAATAAAGTCTGTGATTATGCAGACTAGCGTGACTTTGCTTTGGTTTAGTAACGCAAGATTTGTTTAAGCACCACGGACTTTAAGAGAACACATAATGGTGATTAATACCAATACTGACTGCAGATTATCTTGTTATTGAGCAAAATTAAAGAATTACAATGAATAAGTAAATTGCAATCTTGATGTAACAATGTTTCTGACTTCATGAATAAAATGACATTGTCAGTACTAACATCAACTACTTTATGTTATTCTTACATAAGGAGTTTAACCAGGTATAATTATATACGCTTTCCATGCTCACAATACCAGAAAGTAAGTTCATCTCTAACATGAAAGTGAGGATAAATCATTTTAAATTCACTTGCATTTACACAATATGCCAAGTGTAATGCAAAATTTAGCCCTACATTTCCAGCAAAGGGAAGTGAATCAACTTGAAACAAGGCTGCCACAGTTATCAAGTATTACCACATACTACATCAATAAGAGATTTAAATCCTCGCTAAGATGAAGTCTCAGGGGGAAAAAAAACTCCACAGATATTTATATCAGAAAGAGATAATTAAAAATAGTGGAAAAAGAAAACCAAAGTGTATGGGGAGAGCAGAAAACAGGCAGAGCAGGGCTATTAACTGGCTGTTATTTTATGAAAAAGTCTTGTCTGACACTTCTATCTTTTAATTAAACATAATTCAAATATACAGACTGCCTGAAAGGAAGTTCTTTTTAGAAGAGACATTAGGTTAAATAACTCTGTGCTAAAACCCACTAAAATAATCAAAACCAAGCAATGATTTCAAGACAATCACATAAGTGAGATATCAGAGCATGTACCTTGGACAAAGAAACAAATCCAAATTAGAGCAAATGCACATACACAATATGAATTTAATTATACTTGAAGTTAAGATTTAAATTAATACAGCTGTTAGCTTTTCCTCATATAATGTACTAGCTTAAAAGTCTAAGATGAGCAAAATGGAGAAGTTGAAATATTTCTTTAAAATACCAGCGAATGCTTCTTTCTTGAACTCAATTCAAAGGTAGTCTGATAAAGCATCTCCACAAAATTTTTCAAACATGGCACATTCACTTCATTTTTAACAGCCTATTAAAAAAAAATACACACAAAAATGGGCTTAAAAGTTTATACAGAAGGCAATTTAAATATACATTAAGATGTCCATGAATTCCAGAACATTCAAAAGTAATATCTCACATTAGGTAGGTATTTGAGTGTATTTATCAGAAATATAAACAGAGGCATAAGAAATCATGTCACACACTACAACCATACAGTTAAAAAACCAAAACAAACCCCAAAACCATTAAAAAAAACACTATTTTAAGAATGTGGCCCGCATTCCATACTTAGAGTATATTTGCCACCACCTAACAAATAAAAACTATACCAAAACTCTTTAAAAGTGTAATTTAATATATTTTTTTTTAAAACCCCATAATTTTTTCACTGTTCCCCTCTTCAATGCTCCCCTTTTATGTCCTCCAGTTCTGAAAACAGGAAACTTAGGAAATGACACACAGGATTACCAGCCAACCAACCATGTAAGGGTTCCTTGTTCAGCTTTCAGAATTAATGAAACAGATACATGGAGCCCTACACCTTTTTTATACACTCTGTCCTTCCATACGGAATAGCCTTCCTTCTACAAAACAGGCAGCTACCTTCTTCATCAAAATCCCTGCAAGTCTCTTGGCCTTCTCTCTGGATACCTATGATGACCCATTTATATGTTATCCTCAACCTACTGTTTTATACTGTGTTTCTGCTTTATTTATCAAACTGGGGAGTGGGGTGTTGGAGACAGGGTTGGCTTTTATGGAAGAGATCCTCTATACTCACAATTTTCCTATAATATAAGGGGTTTTTTGTTAGCTTTTATTATTCAAAGTTATTAAAACACATATCATGTCCACCTTGCTAAGAACACTCTGAAAATGTTCAATGATGTGGAATCATAAGTGTATAATATTTCTGTAACATGTACAAATCCAAAAAGAAAGAACTGAGAAAGTAATTATATTTAAATCACTTCCTACATACCTCCAAATTATTTATCTTTTGCTATTCTAAAGCTCTAAGTTGATCAGTACCCTGCTAGCTCCACATGACATACTAGTCAGTTGTTGCCAGCACCACACTGTTGCTCTGGGATATAACCTTGGGCTTACAGATCAGCCTTAACTTCCCCACTGTCATTCATCACATACCTGCAGGGTCCAAATCAGGTCATATTTTTAAAAATGGCTGAATGACTAAGCAATAGAATGATAGTAAAGAAGTCACAAAGCCAAAACCCAACAGCTTCCTCACTTAAGTGATTTTCTGTATCCAAGGTATAGAAAAGCCTAGATTCAGTTCCTTCATCTGATTCAAAAAGATTCAAACCTGCACCTCACATCTTCCAAGAGAATGACTAACCCTCTCAACTGCATCTCAATCTGGGATGGGGCTCTCCGCTTGTATTTAAGAAGCTCCATTTGTATGAAACGATTAGAGACTCAATGAGTCAGAAGGAAAGATCAAGCCTCCCTCACCAACAGTTTAAAGCGCTGACTCAGGCTATGCTTGTAGGAAGGGATCCACAAAGCCACACGCACGCTCTGCACAGCCCATGTGCATGCCTCCGTGGTTACCACCAGATATCCCCAATTCCCAAATGCTGCTTCTGCCTCATCATGGTACATGCATTTTTCACTATATTTAAATTATTATTTTACAAACTAATAATTTGTGTTTACCTAAACGTTAAGTACTTTCACAATGCACCCCCACTCCAACTACCAAGCAATTGTGGAGCTCAAAACAAAAATCAGATTCACTTTTTAATAAGACAAGTCTTCTCTAGAAGAATATAAGTATGCCCAGCTAAGATCAAGCCTTCAGTCAATAGACAGCTACTATTAACACCACCTCTCTGTGGCCATTCCTTAAGAAGAAAGATTGTCTCCTTTCTAATACTTGTTAGAAAAAACCCCAACGTTGAGACCAGTGAAGGGAAAGAAGCATTTCCCCGGCTCAGGGCAAGGCAGACCATTTGCAAGAGGATGATTCAAGGAGATTCCTCTTTTTTTTTTCCTGCAAGCTTGCTTAGACAGGATCGCCACCTGGCGTCCTAGTCTTTCTAGATCCCATTGTACAAAATGGGATCTACAAGTCCCAGTTCTCCATAAATAGCAAGATATGCCCCATAATCAGGCGTGACACGGAGCCATGACCTGCCATTTCTCAGGACAACGTGCCAAACACACTGTGGCCTAGTATTTTGTAATATGACTATCATTTTAGACAACTATCACACCAGGTATCTATCTTACTACAATGAAACTTTCTGAACTTGTGGTAAATGGCCAGCTTGAGGTATAGGTATACTGAGCTGCCATAACTTCTCATTGATCTGTTGACCAAACTTTATGCAACCAAACAAAGCACCCTGGGAGGAAGGGGGAGAACCTGTCCTGACCAAAAGCGTTCTTACAAGCAGTGTGACAGGCACTGTACATACAACACTGTAATGATTTCGACGGTTTTTTTCTTGTTCATGGCTGCTGAGTAAAAATTCTGGCTTTAGATTTAAAAAACATACAGGAGATGATTGACTGCTCTTCCACTTGAAGGATTACATCGAATGGACACTCAAGTCTATGAACAATTGTTATTTAATCAGCCAAAATCTACGTTCTTCCATCTTGCATAGGAGTTCACACTCTCCTTATTGGACTGTAAAAATGTTACATATCTCCCTTTATTCTAGAAAGAACTTAACACATTTCAGCTAATATAGAAAAGTCATTGGACCCTTGAGTGAACAAATACTAAACCAAAGAAATTTCAAACTTTTACAGCAAGTATAAGATTACACAGTGCTCTGGTGATAAAAAGGTCTAGAAATCAGACAATTTTAAGAAGTTCTGAAAAAAGACTGGAAACTAGGTAATACACAAATCACTCTTACACATTTCCCTTTAAAGGTTATGTAGGTGTTTATAATTTACTTAATAGTCTTTTTGAATCTGTATAAATGTAATATTGTAAGGATTAATGGAAGCAATTTTAGAATGAGAGCCTAATTGAAAGTGAGGGGACTAACGGGGTGGGGGGAGGAGGGGTAAGGAGAATACTTACAGCAGCCACAGGGATGAGAATTTCCACAAACAAACCAGCAAGAGCATGTTTTATATCTTTATCTTTTACTTCCAGGAAGTATTGAGCACATTCCTTAGTAAGCATCAGAAAAATATTTAGAAAAAAGAAGACAAATGTCACTAAGCCATAAAATCCACTAGAAGGATCACATTAATTTCCAGTTTGAATTTCTAACATCCAATGTATTTAAGTTAGTCTTATATTCCTTGATGATGTGAACTTTATGAAACATTACAAACTTTAAAACCTGTTTCTCCAGCAATTAAAAAGAAACTGAAAGGAGAACATTTCTAGTACCAGATAGTTATTTACTTTCTACTCAGAATATTGAGAGTACTCAGAATATAAAACAATATAAAGATGCACATTTTTCCTCAGATTATTCTGAAGTTTTAAAAAATAAATGCTTATCTCTACTGAAACTACTAGAAACCAATATTTGATTTTTTAATATACCAATTTTCATTTTCAAGATGACTTTAATGCAAAGAAAATTTTAAACATAAATAAATAATCCATACATTCCACTACACCAAACTGACCACTCTGGACACAATCTGAAGCATCTATGTGTATGTTAGTTTTTTCAGGATTGAGATCAATGTCAATGCCTGTTAAATAGCTCTAATAAAATTTAATACCAAGTTGCAATAACTTCAGTTACTGTCCAACAGGCAAGTTATTCATTAAGACAATTTATTTAATGCACAATGAAGAGAAGCAAAGAAAGAGTTTTTAAGTCTCTCTGAAAATTAGCTGAAGTGGTTACAAAAAAGAAACAAAAGTGTTTCTTGGCATCTCAGCTGTTAAAAAAAGACATATCAAGTAACTTTTTTTCTTTAACCCACTGCTTTCATAAAGAAATAAAGTTATTTGATTGCTACCCATTTTCATTTAGTCTTGAATAAATTCATGTATTACAGGTTTACCACATTACTGAGACAACCGAGAATGCATACTCATTACACTAGGTACTCACAAGCTGCAGAGAAACAAATGATTCATATCTCTTGAGAACTTACAAACTAAACAGAAAAGGATGAGTGACAACACACAAGCAGACTGAGCAACAGAGCACAGCAATCATCACTGCAGCTTCATGACTTCATCAAAATTACGCTCACTTCAGTTTTCTGCAATATTCATGTACCTGCATGAACTGAAATGATGCTTCAAAATCCTCCACAGGATACATCTTTACTCGAAAAAACTTCATTCCCATAATCAAACTGATGATACTTTGTACTACATGAGGACTCTGTTCTTTTTGCCGCAGTTCCTTTAATTCAGTGACAAACTTCTTCCTAACAGCTTGAAACCTGAACAAGGGGTATATATGGCAATTACATACATTCTTATTTACTTTTATATGATGTCTATAATTTTGAACCAATTTTTTTAGTCTGTTAATGATAACAGCACCTACAGTAAAAGTAACACAATCAAGATGAACACTGATACTAAAAATTTAGGCATTTAAGTGTGCCTGTAACGATCAGCACATTAGACTATACTCATTATCTGAAAAACAACTACTGACTGATACCAGGCCTCCTTTCCCTGTACCTAGAAGTTGACAGCAAAGCAATTCAGTATTGTACTAAAGATTATTTCTTGATTTGTTCAAATTTATTGTGCTGGAATATGAGACAAACATGCCAGACTACACCTGACTATACTTGACACTTAAGGGATTAGCTGCTGGGGTCACTAATACATGCTGCTATATTAAATAGTCTTTAAATCTAGAGTAATTTTTCCATAAAGACAAGAAGAGTCAGAGACTGAACTTACTTTGATTGAGCAAGAACCCCTGTCACTTCCGCATATAAGTCTGCAATAATATGCACATTCCCGGTGTTGGTTCCTGAATACCTGAGGGGAAAAAAAAAAAAAAAAAAAGCAGGGGTGGGCGAGAGACCTTGTTCTTCTAAACCCCAAGCATGTTCTCAATTACAAACAAAAAGTTTGTTCCATAGCAAGGCAGATTATTACCATAAAAACAACGGAAGTCAAGCATAAAATGCACTGGTGACATTTAAAGTGAGGTAGGTTCATTGAGTGGACATAAGAAACGTATTCTGCACAGGAAGTTTGCTATGGTTATCCGAACTCGGACTTTCCTTTCTCTGGCTAGCTATGCAAATAATTCTGTATATTCTAAGCAAAATAAACTCAGCATTATATTGAACAAAGCTGTGTTCTTTCAAGATAGGTTTTCAGTTTAAAGATATCAATCAGTGTTCATTTATAGTATTATCACCAACATGTTACATGGGAGGCAAAGGAGAACAATCACAACAATCAAGCACAGGCTGGTAATACACACAAAATATTTCAAAGTGCACAAGTGAAACTTACCCTTCCTTATGTTTAAAGTGCTTAAAAGCCAAGTTTAGAACTTCATGTACTAAAGGATCTGGCACTGGATGAACAGGTATCTGAAATGCAAATATAATTTCTATGCATGTAACTATGCATGTATATATACACATATGTACATATGAAGTAAAAAACCAGTAGTGTGAGATGCCCCGTAGAAATCTCTCCCACCACTGTCAAAAGACACATCCTTTGTTGGCATAAGGTATCAATTTAATTCTGCAATATGTAAACATTTACACAACCTTTATTGACATTCTCTTAACATATTTTGCATACTGGCTTTTAGGGATGAAATTCACAATAAAATAAACAACAGTAATGTAAACACTATGAATTTGTCATCAAAATTTACCAGACTAGGTTAACTATGCATCTTTCCATGCTTTCTACCTTGTATGGTGTTACTATTACACATCTAACCTCAAAATGCAATTCATCTCAATATAAAGGAAGACAAAACCAAAAAGAATATAGAAGAGATGATCACTTCCATTTTAGACTTCCTGCAGACGAAAGCAGCCAAAACATCTAGAAATCTTACCAGCAATAAGTAACAATTTGGTAAGAAACCAAAACCAAGCATTGTTTAGAAGATAGTTTTTTACTGAGGTTCTCTTTGACATAACCATTGTTCTCAGGTTTGAAATAAAACATTTGCTTAAAAATTAAATCTATTCTTTAAAAAAAGCACTATATATAATCGTGAAGTCATCATAGCTTTAAGATTATAAAGCAATTTAGGTAGGGACTAGGATTATCCTCTAAACATTACTGCTCAAGAGTGATTAAGATTGTCACTAAAATACATTTGAATAAAAGACTACTGTCTTGTCTATAGAAAATGAAGCACTTACTGCTTCAGAATTTCATACTCTTCTGCATCAAGCAAGCTATTTGTCCACGAACATCTAGTTGCTGGAACTGCCTATTTACATGCGTATTTATACAATGAGTAATATGTAGTCACTTAAGCAAAATATTTTTGTTCCTACATAGGTCCTGTCTGTCACCCTCTCTCTGGTTGCTCTGTGTGTATTACAGAAAGGGCTGGATCATACCCTTTGCACCCTCTGAAAACAGTTTCTAAGAATTAAACAATGATAAGCCTCCCAGGAAGACAGGAAGACGGACGTAATGAGAATGTAAATATGTCTATTGATAAAAAGCCGTCCTTTCTGTGCTTTCTTTGACTGCTTAATTGCAAATTCACATTACAGGCAGAACATACAAAACCTCCTTAAGATAACTTCTAATACTAAATTGACCAAAGGATTCTCTTAAGTGATGTCTCTATATTCAGTGGCCCATTGAAGGGCTTTAGCAGAAGAAAATATCCTTATCAGAAAAATACCTATCTTGTCTGGTGTACAAGCACAAGAGGCTCACCAAGAATTACAGGAGTCACCACAGACTCTCTTCAAGACCAAAACTTTGTCACCTCTCCTGACATCTGAATCACTGGCAACATGTACCCTACTCAACAGAAAAACTAGTACCAGTTCAAAATACAGAAGCTCCCCACACACCCTGCAACCCTAAACAACCTATTCCATTTCCCTTTTTCTTTCGCACTGATAGAAAACTTAGGCAGGGAGAGAGCATGAACTAAAGATTTTCTGTAAAACACTAACACATATGAGTTTGGTGGTTTTAATACTGTTCTCTGTATCTCTGTGCATGCAGTACAGGAATATCACTTTGGATGACTGGTCAGTATCTCAGAGAAGGATAGGCAGCTCTTTTGTTTTACTGTTTTGATTTTTTCCTATATCACAAATATGCCATACACAACCACATAAATATAAATCTCCTACAAATTAGTTGTAAACTAAACCATAATCCTTGCTTTACTTAGTACAGAAAGCCATCTAATTTTCATGTATCTACACATAAAAGACATACTTAACTACTACTTAAGGATTTGAAATATGAAATTTGCTTGTCCACTTCATGTTTCAAACCCTTTCTTGCAGTTACCTTTCTCCTCTCAAAAAATGCAAGAAAAAATGCTGCTACTTGAAGCCAAAATCTATCCTCTTGTCCATATATCAATGCAAATTTTATATTAACAGAAACTGTGCATAACATCATCCAGCACTAGAGTATAAGGCCAAACAAAATTACATACCCTTTCTGATTTTTTTAAAAAGTGACATTTATTCTTGTCACTCAATGCTTTCACCTTTTATTTCAAAAACGTTTAAGCAGACAAAAGGTACTGAACACAAATAAAATGTTATTTTTTACAGTTTCGCTTTCTGCAGGACATCAACAGCTTTGACTTAGTGGACCCAAGTCCCGTGAACTGAGACAATGCAGGCATGTAAAGAAAAGACAGAAGAAGCCAAAGGCTTTATGCAACTGAGTGTATAATTACAGTCTTGCATATGCTCATCATATATATGTCCCAGTTTTTAATATAAAAATTTAAAGGAGATGATCAAAACTGACATTAAAAGCAAAAGATTAAAAGAAGTTTGCAAAAGCAAAAAAGCTTACCTGTTTTAGAACCTCTATTAAAACTAAACAAAAAATGAAATCTACAGCTAAGTCCCTCCTTTCAAGTAGATAATCTCTTTCACGTTGTTGGTCATCCCTAAAATAAGAAATCAAGAACACACACATCATATACAAGACTGAACACAAATATTGCAGAGAGGGGGCATTCATGTCTTTCATGCAATCACTGTTGCACATGCACGTAAGATGGATGGTTAGAAAGACTTTGGGGTTTGGTGCAGCACTGACATCTTGCCCCCTCCTGAAAGGGCCTGCCAACAATCAAAACAGGACAAACTAGCTTAGTATTATCAGCATCCAACTCCCTTCCGTGTAACAACCCCAAAATCATTAAGTCACTTCATGCGCATCATCTACGCAAGTTAAAAATACTACCTCGAAGCAGCCCATACTCTTTCTATACAGATTTAGGTAATGACAGATACAAATACAAAAGCACTTGTCAAAAAAAAAGTAGAAAGCATACATTTTCTTACAAGAGAGCACAAAAATCGAACAAACTTTTATAAGGAAAACTCTTACCCCTTTGATTTTGTGCTAGACCGAGGTCTATATTCATAAGATTCATCTTCTGTTCCATTTTGACGCCTGTACCAATCAAACAAGGTGCGTAATAAGGAGGGGAGACAGTGCTCTGCTACTGAGCTCATAGAGCTTATTAACTGAAAAAAAGGAAGAAAAATAGCTTAGCATAATAAAGCAATCTAAAAATCATAGAATTATAATCATCCTTTCAAACTGGTTTTTAATGTTAAAACCACATATCATATAATTTTACAAAGCGGTAACTTTATGTATTGTATTCACCTAGGACAATTACTGTAAATATGACACACCAAGTCAATTATTACGACAAATTTAAGCAAAGTGTTCCAAAGCTCATAGAGATTACAGAATCCTAAATTTATACACAAAACCATTGAGAAAACAGCAGAGATTTTAGGATGTCTCAGAATGTTGCCATGTGTATCTCTGAAGTAGACGAACCTTTACATTACAAATGACAGATAAGAGTTAACTCTCCTGAACCTTCCAAAACATGCTTCTTTGGTTATTATATAAACAAAACCACGAGCTTTTTAGATATTCTATGCTGCTTTTAATACATTATTACCATCTAGATTGCAAACTGCATTTACTTACAGCACAACTACCCTAACTACTGCCCTCTTTCAGAAAACCCATATGAGTCGTAAACCTATCAGTGAAACAGTGGCAACACAAACAATTATAGAACAGAGACCGTAACATGGTACAAAACTTAAATTCCTGAGGCTTCCTTCAACTTAAACAGAGATCATCGGTGCCCGCACTTGAAGTGGAGAAGGATGACTTTAGAAAGCATAAAGCAACTATGAACTCCCTGCCAGGAGGCAGCAGGGAGCAAGCCCATCTCCAAAACCCTGGCTGGAAAAGGAGAGTTATCACATTGCTCAGTGATAATTACCTCTTGCATCTTTCAAGTAAGAGGTTTCAACAGAAGTCATCCTCATGCTATAGCTTATCTAATATTCACTATTCCATAAAACGAAGACAACATGAATGCCATTATTTCTTTGTCCGCATTTGAAGCATCTTGTTTTTTCAGGTTTGGGGAAGGAATGGCATCAGGTTGACCATATGGGAACCTCAAAAAGATGTCTTTCAATCATCTGAATACTTTACTCAGCTTGCTAACAAGTCAGCTATTCAAGTCAGAAGAATTAAGTAGTATTCTTGACTACGTGAAAAGGAGAAACTTCCTCAAAATAAGTAACATAATATTCTTACTCTGTAAATTCATAATTAAATCCCAGTATGCAATACAAACTACATATTTTCCAAATCTGAACAGGAACTAGGTTTAATGAGAAGCTTAACATGACCCAGCAATGTGAGCTTGAAGCCCAGAAAGCCAACTGTGTCCTGGGCTGCATCAAAAGAAGCGTGGCCAGCAGGTCGAGGGAGGTGATTTTGTCCCTCTGCTCTGCTCTTGTGAGACCCCATCCAGAGTAGTGCGTCCAGTGGAAGGTGTCCCTGCCCATGGCAGGGGAGTTGGAACTAGATTATCTTTTAAGGTCCTTTACAACACAATTAAGAGTTTTTTACTAGAATAATGAGATTACTTTTTTTCCTTATTATTATTGTCTGTCAACAGGACACTCACTAAAAAGGAATTCCATCAAAAAACTAGGCATGCCTGCTGCAGGAGGGGCACACATGTTGAGCTAACTGCAGAAAAAGATGAAGGTGGTTATTGCAGACAACACAAAATGATACGAAGCCTCTTTAATACAGAAAAGAAACAGAAGCTAGAAAATACTCTATAGGTATGCTATAATGCCTTGCATCTCAGAACAAAGGCTAAATTTTGAGAATACCTTTATTTTTATACTAATACACGTTGAAATCTTTATGCCTTGCTTTGGAAACCAACCATGTTGTAAGCCTACTCCTTGTGCACCAACATCCATACAAAATAAATACCCAGTCAATCAACCAACATACATCAGACTTTTAGAAGTGGACAGTAAAGACCAGCTCAATTTTAACACTGTTAAGTTACATTGTGAGATGTGTGAAATTATAATGAAGCAGTGTGCGATGAAAAGGAACATGTACAATTTAAGATGTTGCTCAAGAGAATTCTCTGATGTGGCAGAGGTCTGACAAACTTCCTTAGAAAAAAAAAAAGCAACAGCAAAAACTTGTGAAGAGGAAAGAAAAACTGAGGCAATTTGAGACACTTGTGTGCTACTATTAAAACTATTATTCTTCAGTAAGAGGAAGCATCAGAAAAAAAAGAACTCAAAAGACACATTTGATAAAGCTTCAAAAAATCTTAACTGAGATTTGATGTGCAAGAAATGCCTGCTGCTTGCATCAGTTTGGGGTACTCAAACTTCTCTGTTGACCTCACTCCACTCGTGAGCAGAAATTACAAGTTAAAAGCTTTAACATAATTTTGGGAAAAAAAGAATTCAGAAAGCAGAAAGAACGAACCCTCCTCATGAGTTACTAAACTGAAGGTATTAGCATAAAATCAGCAATTTAACTGGCAATCCTTAGAGTGAAAGCTAAAGCTAAACTTGAAGAACAATCTATCATCAACCAAAGCAACCCAAAAGGTGGTTTGCCTTCAGAATTTGCTGTCAATTTCCATACCCCACCTAATTTAGACACTGGGGAAATACATTAATTTTTTTCTCTAAAAAAACCAAGTTCTCTTTCACTAAAAATAATTATATATCCAATGCATTGCACACAGCTATGTTCATACAGCAACAACACACACACGAGGACAGGAACAGATTAAGCGAATGTTTAAGTTACCCTCTACTGTCAATGTAAGATGACCCCAATGAGCAATTTTACTCCTGTGCCCTCCTTCTGAGCTGATGGGTTTATTAGGAGAAGAAAAAAGCTGCCTTTTAAGCTTTACTAAACCTTTTTCTTAGGTTTTCCTGCAAGTTTACACAGTATACTAATACTACTACTGTTCATAAACGTTTTATCAGTTAGGCAATTTACGTCATCTTCCACAGCAACAAGCTGTATCGCACACATTAAAAAATTTGTCATTGGTAGAGTGCTAAACCCAGAAACTACTGGCATTACAAGCATTTTCCTCTTGAAATGAAAAAGCAGTTTCACATCATAATTATTTATTTCCTGCCAAGTTTTGCATCCTTACAATTCTAATGAAAAGGCACTGGAATTATCAGGAAGACTAAATATTTGCTCGAATTACGTAGCTGCTAAGCAGAACATGAGCGATATGCTTATTCTTTATATTTGAAATAATTACCATAATGCCTTGATACTAAATTCAAGATCATCTTATACAAAAAAAATGTAAGAAAACCCTTTTATTTTAGCATTAAAATATGCCTAGGTTGAAAGCAGCAACCCAGACAAAGAGAGAACCTTCAATGCCCAAGAGGACAGAGCTGGACTAGTCATCATGACGTATACTCATATTCCTCAGAATGAAAGAGCAAAGCGTGCTCCAGCCTTAAAGGCCATAGCACTTTGCTAACTACTGCACTTCACACACTCAGCAGCACATTGAGACATAAAGAGAGAGAGATGCAAATGATAGCAAGATGCTAAAGCCCAAATTCCAGCTATGGCCAAAATCCTGATCCTGACAACACTGCTCACGTTCTGCTTAACCACAAACAAGCCTGAACCCCAGAGACACATCTGCTTTCAGCAAAGTCACTGAGGTGGCCAAGATACACTTCTGTGTGATCATAAAGTTTTGGTGTCCTAGGATAAGAGTAGGAAATTGCTAAGCATGATTCCTGCAACAAATGAAATAAGAAAAATACAAGCTATTTCAGTTTCAAGCTGTACAAGCAAAAATATTTTAAGAAATGCAATGTATGCTCTATAAAAAAAAAAATCCTCTCTGGTAGCTTCTTGATGTGCTGGGAATGATAAAGGGGAAGTACTCACACTAAAATGCTACAATTTTTAAGTTTAGAATTGTATCAACATAAAAATTTCCTTCTCATTTTCCAAAGTTTCATCTCTTTTAGCTAAATTTACTTTTTTTCCCAATTAAAACCTCAATGACAAATAAAAAAAATGTACCATTTGCAAACTGAAAACTATTGATTTTGCACACTCAGATCCAATAGCAGCCCTCTTGGTCTGGTTACGCTTCGAACAGAATCCCACTGAGGTTCAATAAAGCCAAGTGCTGGGT